GTCTGTTTTAAAAATATTTAGCCAATGAAAGATCTTAAAAAGAGCTTGTGTAAATCTTGTTCGATCCTCAAACTGTCAGTAAAGCTGATAACTCCGCCCCCTCTATCGTGACTGAATGAACTGAAGCTCCGCAGCGGCCGCACAGCAGACAGTTTTGCAAGGGTAAACTAAGATCTTGTTGTTTGAATAAATACTAAACACGTTGTCTATAAAAGCTCATATTTTATTTATTTGATGTCTGACTAAGATATGTGGGACCTGAGAGAGAGGACTATATGCTGCTAACATTTGCCATAGTCATAGCCAAATAGCCTACACTTAAATAGCCTGTGCATACAGCAGCATTTCATTTTTTATAAAATGCGATTTTGACCAAATGTATTTTACAACAGGAAAAACTGAGCGCCTATATAGCTATAACAATCTAGTTGGTAAGCTGTTGATGAAAATGTAGTAATGATGCCGCCGGCGCCGTTTCCATCGGAAAATCATAAGCACATGCGCGCCCCCGCGCTGTTCGTACTGGAACTACACAAATCGACGAGTGATCCTCGTCACATATATTTCTAAGAAATGTGTTCTTTGATTTATGATTGCTGCTGCTGATACACTTAATTTTATTAACATTTAATCATGTTATGGTAATAATATTACATTATGGTTAATTCAAGGCTGTTAATATGGACGTATTCGCTGTCTAAGATCTATAGTATTTTAAAATTTATATACTCTCCGGTCGTCCTCACATGTATAAATGTAGTAAAACATGGCTTTACTACAGTAATGTTGTAGTAGTAAAAAAAAAAAAAAAACCACATTACAGAAGATCACTGTGAAATCTTTATATTTCATCATCCATAATGTAATTTGTGATTTCATTCATTCCCAGGCTTAATTTATTTGATCCAAAATAAGCAAAAACAGTAATATTGTGAAATATTTTTACAATTTAAAATAACTGTTTTCTATTTGAATATATTTTAAAATGAAATTTATTTCTGTGGTCAAAGCTGACTGTCATGTGATCCTTCAGAAATGCTTTTCACTGCAACTGTACTTTTCACACTATTTTATCATTTTTTCATTGCTGGCTTATTTTATGGAAAGTGTAGTGAATAAGAGACCTTCAAGAGACCAACATTGGTCCTCCACAGTGTCAGGTTTTTGCCATCAACTGCAACTGTGGAGAGATCCTTTTCAAAAATGAGGTTAATTAAGAACCAACCCCGAAGCCTTTGCTCAGAGGAGAGACTAGACCTTCTCCCCATAGCCATAAAGAGGGACATCACAGTGAAGTCATAAACATCTTCAAGCATGGCTCACAGAAGGTTGCTGTTGTAATATGGTTTAAAGAAGCCTTGAAGCCCTGTATATCTATATTATCTATATTATTATTATTATGGTTGTTAATAATAGTGAATAAATCTAAAGCTTTTGAGACTATTTTTTTTTTATTATTGAATTTGTCATGAAGATGTGACCATATCCTCCTTTTATGTAGGCTTACTAAATAATCTTGATATTAAAAAAAGGGAGGGGGGTGCCCTTTTTCAGTTTCAGCACATGCCCCTCAAAAGGTCTGTGCACGGCCCTGACGTCGCTTTAAACATGTATGGCTTTCTTTCTTATGCTGAACAAGAAATAACCCAGATATTTTTAAAAATATGTCTGTCTTTTTTAATGTTCACAATGAAAGTCATTGTCCCTTCTTTTTTTTTTTTTTTTTTTTTTTTTTTTTTTTTGGGTGAACTATCTATTAAAAAATTACGCTCTGTCTTAAGGAGTGTTAAACACTGTGGATCGTTTCGCTTCGTGAAAGCTTTCACACTGTCTTGTGTTTGATTTAATTTCTTAGACTTATTTATAATGAAAAATATCATACAAATATAACAGGTCATTGTGTCACTTGAGGTGAGGTAGTCTGTTTCTCATAAACTGCACCTGTCACAAAAATGTCTAGAGACATTGTGGTGTGGCTATGCAATTCATATTTTGCACGTGTCATCACAAGGAGTTCTGGAGAGAGAGAAAAAAAAAACCTATGCATTCCAGATATGGGTTAAAGTTGTTAGAAGACTAATGTTGCACACAATTTAGTGCAATCTTTAGTAGATTCAGTAGAATTTTTTTTATTTTTTTTTATTTGAATTGCACACATCACTTATATCAGCGAGTCAAAATATCTTTCTCACAGTTTGACTTATAATGTTGTATTTTATTACAGTTCCCAAAGCCATTTTTTACTTACATTTTGCTTGTGAAGTGTTTATTTTAGACATTGCATGTGTATGCAACATATAATACAAATTCAATTAATTTACTTATTCATTTATCAATTAATAATCATGGTTTCAAAATGTGTGAGAACATACTGGGGTGGTCTGATGCTGCTTTAGTTTTGTGTAAATAAAATGCAGCATCAGAGCAGCCTTAGACTGTGCAGTTGCCATAACGGAGTATATTTTATTACACGATTATTTATAATGTGTTATTTGTAATGTTTTATCATTTAACATTTTCATTGATTTCATGCTTCTATATTTAATATTTAAAACATTAATTTTGTATTATTCACTTTTCATTATTTCTTCAAATGTACATCTACCATTCTCAGTGTCACATGATCCTTCAGAAATTATTCTAATATGCTGATTCAGTGTTCAAGAAACATTTATTATGATCATCAATGTTGAAAACAGTCATGCTGCTTCATATTTTTGTGGAAACTGTCATACATGTTTTTTTCAGGATTCTTTGATGAATAGAAAGTTTAAAAGAACAGCACTGGTTTGAAATAGAAATCTTTTTTAACAGTGTAAAGCTTTTTATTGTCACTTTTGACCAATTTAATTCAACAAAAAAAAAAGTATTAATTTCTTTCCAAAAAATCCTGAACTTTTAAACGGTAGTGTAATTTCTGTGTAAATGTGTGTACTGTATGAGGCAGTCTGTGTAATGTACCTTTAGTGGTATATGTGGTGTTTCATTTAAGGCAAAATTCAATTTCGAATCTATTCTATCTGTAGCTTCTCCCATTAATCTGCCAGCGTATCCTTACATTTTTCAACATACTTTAGTCACTTAAGTCTCTTCCTTCCCGTTTCCTTATCCTGTATCCATTATCTGATTGTGCCTCTAATGGGCGCTCTTAGTGGAGTCAAAGCACCAAATCCAATCTATCACAGCAAAGACTAAGCACTAAGCCCTGTGTCCAGCTATTGCTTTGGTGTCTGGCATAAGTTATTAACTGAAAAATGTTGGATGCCCTCTGCTCCACTAAATGACATGATATTAAATATTTATCAGGACTAAAATTAGATGCCCACCACTATCTATTAGTAACAGAGCTTGAGCTGTTCGTTTTGGTGGATTCTAAAGGAGAAAGATTGTAGAATGGAAACAATTATTTGCTGTAAACTGATGTCTGTACACTACTGTTCAAAAGTTTGGGGTCGGCAAGATTTTTAATTATTTTTTGAAGGAAATGAATATCTTTTATCAGCTAGAATTCTTTAAATTGATCAAAAGTGACAGTAAAAACTTGCTACTAAAAAATCTATCTCAAATAAATACAGTTCTTTTGAACTTTCTATTCATCAAAAAAATCCTAAACAATTTAGCTCAGTTTCACAAAAATATGAAACGGCACAAAAACAATAAGAAATGTTTTTTGAGCACCAAATCAGGATATTAGAATGATTTCTGAGGATCATGTGACACTAAAGACTGGACACTAAAGACAAGACTGGAAAAAATTCGTACCGACCCCAAACTGTTGTATTGAGAATCCTAGAGAAAAAATAAATGTCCTATAATTCAACTCACATTTGCTGCTTTAACAAAGCAAATCTAAGTGGATGTTTTATTCCCACTGGTCTCACTGCAGTAGGAGCTGATGGTTTATGTATGTGACGTTGTGCTTTAGCGGCTGCCTCTCAGCGTCAGCTATAGTTTCTATAGCTGGTGTTGTCTATAGCTCAGCGTCGGCTATAGCTGGCTATCTTCCATCCAACGGTTTAGTGTGCACTCAATAATCATGGTTTGTTAAATGGGGAGGGAAAGAGGCATAGCCCAAACCATAATTCAGTATTTACTCAAAAGCATTAGATAAAGCCTTATGAGCCCCATTAATTTAGATCCTCCTCTCTTTTAAACGGAGACAGATCAGTGTCTTAGGGAAAATTAGCATTTAAATGACTTGTGACCTGCAGCCTCCAGTCTACTTGCTGCAAAGACTTCTCAGCCATGAGAAATCCTGCTCTCTCCTTTATTTGATCTGTAGCTCAGAGTTATTTTCTGTGTGTGGATGTGTGGGTGTGGGTAAATTCATCCATTTATCTACACAGGTATATTTTCTTGTGTTTTTCTGTTGCTTCTCAGGGGAATCTCAGGTCAGCAGGGCAGATGAAGTTGTGCTGTTGTTTTTATTGCAGTCTGAGTTTAGGTTCTGTGATGCTGTTACTTGGATATTTTAAACTGTTTTCTACCCCAGATTTAATAAACCTACCCCGATAGAAGTAAAAATCTAAATAATCTACCTTTTTAATAAATGTTTTATTGCTTGGGGCTTCAAAAAAGAATGAGGATATTAGATTCATAAAATGTAGATGTGAAAATAAAACACCGTTATGTGCTGCCCTGGAAAATGTAGCAATTTCAGTGTCTCATATGACAGCTGATGACAAATCGAGTCTATTCTTACACAAAAGAAATCCTTTTTAATCTTTCAAATCTAAGACTGAGATGGTTTAGGTTGGTAACTCTGCCCTAGTCCTAATGCAATCATTTTCAATGGTTCCATAAATTCACTGACGACCTTCTGGGTAAGTCTTCTATTGAATGATTAGATCTCTTGGCAGAGGTTTCAATTAGCACAGTTGGCAGCCCACAGCTTGCAAATCAATCCAGTAAGCCCAGGCAGGCTTCACTGGCTTCCTCGATGCCGTCTGCTTTCAAATGGCTTCTATTTTAATGTTTCTCTTCTCTTTGTTCTCTTACAGTGGGGAAGACTTCCCTGATCACACGCTTCATGTACGACAGCTTTGACAACACATATCAGGTAGGCAGCTGCGGGCCGCTTGACGTCCTTGTCATTCCGTCACTCAGAGAGCTCAAAGTGTCCCTCCCCTTATTGTGCAACATCAAAGAGTCATTTCACACAATCTTCATAAAACACAATGGGCTGAGTTCAGTCTTTCAGTTGTGAGGACAATTCTTTCAAATTGATTATAAATGTTCAACATTATTGTAATGTTGTGTGGTTATTGATTCACATAAATGGTTTTGCGAAATTTTATTATTCATCTCCCCTATATTCATCCCCAATCTCCTCTGAATCAGCAGCAGCGAACTCATGTACGAACTGATTTTACCAATACCGTGTAGCGAAACTCTTGGTGAATGGTGAGCCAGATGTAAATTCAGCGGAAGCACTCTACAGGTTAATATAGACTGGTGTTGTTGAATAATGTGTTGGTGGAAAGCATTTCAAACATCGAAGTGTCGTCTATATGATGAGGTTCATATTTTTTAATTAAACCTGTGAGAGAGCTGGTATAGCGGAAAGGAATCCATCTGTGAGATTGATTTGCTTGTATATATGTATATGGGTGATTGTTTAATTACAGGAACTATTTTATCCCCTAGGATGATTTTTAAAGTCATCATACAATGAATTAATTTTTTCGTACCTTGTAATGTTTTATGAAAATGTCATAACTCCATCTTCCTGTGTAAACATCAGACTTCTCTCTGGTCAGATGTCCTGGACTTCTACAATCATTTAGTCCACAATTGACTGTACCTTACATTCATTTTAATAGCAACACCAACATTAAATTCCAATCAACAACCTATGGATAGAACCAAGTACCCACCCTACATTTTGAACTTTTTCAATAATGTTACACTTTGATATATACGTCACAATACATAAAAAAAAGATATATTTGATTATTTTTCATCACGACTTTAAAGAAATGAAAAAAAAAATCATTGTAGTTTTAAAGGTTAGTTTGTAATAGCTTTATATTTTTAGCTTTAGCTAGCATTTGAACTGCCTTGCTCTCGAGTGATTATGTTCACTGTTTTGCTTTAGAAACAGTTTCATATTAAGTCTAAATGGTAAATCTACTGTGGCTGATTGTGGCTGTCATAAGCTGCAAAATGCCAAATTTCCGAGCCGTGATATAAGCGAAATGCGGCCATTTTTAATAAGGGGAGGAACTACTCCATATGTCCCGCCCTGTCTTCCTGTTTCAGTGAAAATTATGCCAACATTGAATAATGCTGTGTGTTTCAAAGCAATTCAGGGGGTCTTTAATAGACATCTTGGATGCCATTTCTGCTTTGTGATGCGATTACTCGGGTCGTTGTTGCAGCAATTAATTTGGTATTATTGTGTACAGTTTTCAAAGTTTCATAAAAAAGAATCACTGTTCCTAATACTGCTGTCATTACCGTCACACCAAGGATTTTAGAGGACAATTGACTTTTCTCCAAGTCGTCAAGAGTATTTCAAGTAGTCAAAAGTGCGCTTCATTGAAAAATCACCCATTAATCTATGGCATTCTGTCAAAGTACTGTTATGTCCAAAGGTCTAAGACATCTGTATTAAAATGGAATGTTTCCATTCCACTTATCTGCATGGTTTATAACCCATAAAACCTGAAGGATGTTGAAATGATGTGAAAGTGTCGTGTTTTTTCAGGCTGAAATGCTCTGTAGGCTTGTGTCTATTTAGATGTCTTTGTGTTTGAGCTGAGTCACAGCTTTAGTGCACTACAGGTTCTACCTGTCACAATACTTCAACCGTCTGAGACATATGCATGATGAAAGCTCTCTGAAGTCTCTCTGGCCTTGATATTGCCTTTCTCCCTCTCTTTATATCCTCTCCATTCTACTGCATCACCAATTGTGGGCTCTGCATTTAAACTTTAGTTGGACATAGAGGTTGTTGTTTTTTTGTACATTTCTATGCCAAAAGAAAATCTAATCGGCAAACAAATGTGGATTAATATTTGTTATTTATCCAATATTGTTATTGGTTTGTTATATAAATGTGCTGTGTAAACAATTAAATCATTGACCCTTACAGTTTTCCTCCACACTGACACTGTACCAATAGCTTAATATTTAAAGAAACACTGAATTTGGAGTTAAGCTCTAACCAGCCCCCTGATTTTCACTTTCACAATGTGTGTAACGATAAGACGATGTTAGTGTCATAAACCAAGCATGCTGCGCTGCTACAGTGTCAAACTGTAATACGATTACATGAGTGCTTTGTGAACAGACTGTGTTGTGCTTTCTGACGAGATGATAGATTCTGGAATCTCAAATCCAGAGCGCTGTTTTACACCATGTGTTTATTCTTACTAAACTGATTTGTGTTTACCCATTGTAAACAGATGTTTCTGTATAGGCCGATTGTAAAGAGATATTATATCTGAGTTAATGACCTGATGCTAATTTCTTGTCAGAATCTATTAATTTGTTCAAAATTAAATTAAGATAACAATGTAACAAAAAGTAATGTAATAAACTGTAATTATTCACTGGCTGTCTTGAATACACATATTTTATGATAAGAAAGAAGTCTTTTAAATTCTCAGATAATTTGATCTTTGTAGAGCAATGCAAGGCGAGTTCAAGTTGTAACATGTGATGTGGTGCAACTCCACAAAAAATTATATACATTTATAATAAAGGCTGTACTAATATGCATATGACAATAAACTTGAACTGAATAGTTGTAAAAATATTTTTCACCTTGAACAATAACTTTTTTTTTAATGATTAAGGAGTGTACGCTCACATTTTTGCTTGGTTACACCACATGACAGTTTAACTTTTACTTCTACACGGATACATTTTTTTCCCAAAACCATATAAAAACAACATTAATAAAAGAGGCAATATAGTGTTGGAGGTTTCATGCCTATATACAGTATGCTTGGCCAATCTTCACAGATTTTACATTCCATCAGTATGAAGGTTGAATTAGCAGAGCAATAGCACAGCTGTACATAAAATATTCCAATCCACACAATATAATGGGAGACATATCAGAGCTATAACACAGCTGCCCAACTCACTGCTGAATTAAATGCGCACCTTGACTCTCCTGTTTCCACCAAAACTGTTGAGCTTCACAGAGTCAATATTCATGATTGGGCTGCTATATAGCCAAACCTTTGGTCTCTCGTACCAATGCCAAATGTCGGTTTCATTGGTGCCAACAGTGTAAATCTTGGGTTGTGGACAATGTGAAAGTGAGTCCACCTTCACTGTCTTTCCCATATCCGTGGGAGTTACGATGTGGAGAAGTCCCAAAGAGTATTAACACCCGGACTGTTGTGTGCCCAGAGTGAAGCACAGGGTGGATCAGTGATGTTGTGGGCTTCAGTATCATGGCATTCCCTGCTGTGCTTGATGGGCGCATCACTGCAAAGGACTACCGAACCATTCTGGAAGACCATGTACACCTAATGGTTCAAGCATTGTCTGAAGGGAGTGCCGTGTATCTGCATGATAATGCACAAATGCACACACCAAGACTTTTGACAGAATGGTTTGATGAACATGAAAGGGAAGTTGAACATCTCCCATGGCATGCACAGTCACTAGATCTAAATATGTTGTAGCCACTTTGGGACAAGTCAGAAAATATTTTCCTCCACCAGCATCACATAGTGACCTGGCCACTGTTCTGGAAGATAAATATAGCTCAAAGTCCCTCTGGCAACTGTGCAGGACATGTATCTGTCATTCCCAAGAGAAATTGATGCTGTATATTGGCTGCAAAAGGAGGCCATACACTATACAAATAAATTATTGTGATGTAAAACCAGATATTTAATTGTCCAATATATATATATTATATAAATATAAATTATATTATATAAAGTCAAAAGTTTGGGGACAGTAAGTTTTTTTAAGAGGCACTTTTATTCAGCAAGTAAGTTGATCAAAAGTGACAGTAAAGGAATTTATAATTCTACAAAAGATTGCTATTTCAAATAAATGCTGTTTGTTTGAACTTTCTATTCATCAAAAAATCCTGGAAAAAAATTCACAGTTTCCACAAAAGTAGCAGCACAACTGTATTCGACACTGCATATAATAAGAAATGTCTCTTGAGCAGCAAATCAGCATATTAGAATGATTTCTGAAGGACCATGTGGCACTGAAGACTGGAGTAATGATGCTGAAAATTCAGCTTTGCATCACATTAATAAATTACGCATAATAACACATAATAATCACAAAATACATTACAATACATTCATATACATAAAAATACATAAAAAAAATACATAAATACATTACAATAGAAAACAGTTATATCAAATTATAATAATATTTCACAATATTACTTTTTTTTTGTATTGGTGATCACATAAATGCAGTCTTGGTGAGCATATAAGACTGCTTTCAATAACATTAAAAAAATCTAACAGACCCCAAACTTTTGTTTAGGTCATGCTATGTATTTAGAATAGCCTTCTCAGAAGGTAAACCTTTTACTTTTAGTTGTTTCATCACATTAAACTGGGATAGGAGAAAGTTCTTTACAATCGAGAAATGTCACACATCAACTTGAACTATTTTCATTGTCAAATCCATTCCTCAAACGCAGGAGGGATCACAGGCATTCAGTGAAGCTGAGATTCCAGAACCTTGTTTCAGACCAATGACTGTGACCATGCTGTGATATTCATTGTTTAAGTTGTTCATTGATGACAATTGAATCTGACTGAAACCAAACAGTTCCTTTTGTCATCTGCATATGAATAAAATATATTGCCTCATCAGTGTCACCTTTGAGAAGTAAAAGGCATCTTAATGAGCTGTGACTCTCTACTGTTACACTGGAGAGAGGAAGGGATATTAGCTCTTTTCTAATTTGCATATTCTTGAATAAGCTCAAATCAAGCTGCTCCTCAACATTGAGATTGACCTTAAGATGTCTGGCAGTGGGCTTTCATGATAACATATGCCAGAAGAGCAGAGAGCATCACCCCCGACTCCTATCATCTGTCAGTCTTCTTCTCTATG